TGTAACAATACTTAACAAACATGTGGATATTGGTGGCAGCAGAAACCTAACAATTAATTAAAATCCTTGTTTTTGTCAGTTTTTATTTAGTTTTAATTGTAGTTTATTATAAAATAACTGTAGTACCCGTCCCCTGGATGGAAGATATGTACATTCATGATTAAATAAAGGTTACCTTAGGACATGAAAAGTTGCTTTCTTTATATGCAAAAAACGCCCATAAAAACTGCAAAACAAAAATATGAAACCGCAAATTTGCATGTATCTCCGCATAGACACAACAAACTGTCATGCCAAATTTGGTGAAGATTCATTGGAAGGGGGCGAAAGAAATAATAAAAAACGCAAGAACGCCCATAAAAACCGCAAAATGCAGAACAGAAAGTTTGTGTGAATCTCCCCAAAGACCAATGAGCCTCCAGACCAAATTTGGTGAGAGTCCATCTACAGTGGGCAAAGTAGTTAGATGGACGTATATCAGAGAGTACTATTATATTTATATAGATAGATGTAGAAAACTTAATTTACTCTGTGCCAATGGTCATATAAACTGTCGCTGTATTATTAAAATACGTTTACACTTTTAGTCAACACAATAGCTATACAGTTCATATTATCTTGTAAATGCTGTAGCACAAGAACGAAACTCTAACGGCCGAAATAATGTAATAAATTTGAACTTGTGACACTTAGAGCTATTAAGGATTATGTGAATGGTAGATGTATGACAGTTGATAGTCAAAATACAGTGAAAATGGTCAAAGCATAGTACTTTTCAATTATGATATTTGATCCAGCAGTTGCACTTTATGGTTAATCTGCCTCTACCAGGACTCATCTAACACAAGAAGGTACAATACAAGTGTCACACATTTTTATAGACAGGAGTGGCATTTCAACTTCTAAATGCCATCCATATGGTATCCTCTGATTTGCCAATGAGAAATATCTCTATCCGTTTCTAAATAATTATATTAACTTTTCTAAATATTTCTCGCGAGAAGGCTAGGGCCGAAACATAATTCTACATTCCGACCTATGAATGATCTAAAACAATAGGTAGTTAGAGCAAAAGGATTTAGCAGCTTTATGAATGACGTTATGTGCTGCAACGACATAGCCTTGCATGTATGAAAGTTTTATGTTGAACAAAGGGGTTAAAAATACGCAATATGCAAATGGAGTACTCTCATCCTAAGGATATCAATTCCTTGATTTACTATTAACATTTATACTAGTTTATCTTTTTTTCTCATCCTTTAGGAGAAGCCTATTTCTTTTATATTTTGTCTGTTGTTCCTGAAAGTATGTCCTTTTAAGTTAATTAATGTACTTCTGTACATTTCTAAAGGCTTATTCAATCTTGTTAAGACATTTCCGTGCTTCTTTGATCTTGTTGCTATAATCCTTTTGTTCTTCTACAGTATTGTTCTTACAATCTTTCTCAATATTTCCTATGGAATTTTCAAATTCAGTTTGTACGTTTTCTATGACTTTTTAAACTTCAATATTTACATTTTCTATTTGGTCATATCTTCCATCAAACTGCTTTTGGTTCAGTCTACTATCGTGTTTAACTGTGTACCAGTTTAACGTTGAATATTATTTATGATTTTAACTTTATACACAAGTGCCAAAATACTATAATTAGTATCGTGTTCTTATAATTCCCCTCTTAAATTTCTGTCTTTTTTTCTGCTTATTCCTGCTATTCGGTTATGAGTATCCGCTTGTGAATAAATTTACGATATCTGAAAGTTTTCAAAATACGTGAATAGCTTCATAAATGTTTTTCATTATTTAGAAACCCATATTTAGATATTCACAAGTAATTTACTGAAAGAAAAACGATTGATTAAAAAAACTGTTTTTTTTTATTCACTAGGGTGCACTTGAGATTGCATATTTCTAAGCCTAACTTATATCTTCTTCCGGCCAAATGAAGTTAAGTTTAAATGAATAAGAAGTGTAGGCGTAAATTGTAACGTAGTGTTTATCAATTTATATGTTTTGCTACTTATATAAGTAATACACGTGTACTACAATATCAGCGTGTTTGTACTTTTTGACGCTGAAAATGTTTGGTGTGCTATTAAAAATTATGTTATTTTCCTTCGTTATAACTATCAACCTATTACCAGTTTATGCCAGCCCTAGAAATGACGTTTCAGAATTGTCTGGCGCAAGAATTAATAAACTTGCTGATCGTAAAGAATGTGCAACAGATATTCGTCGACTTTGTGATCGAAGCATTTTAAACAATGACTTTGCTGTTTTAGAATGCTTGCAAAATGACAAGGTTTGTTAAGTTTCAGTTGTAAGTGGAAATTTTGTGCAAAATTCTGAACCATTGACCTGTACACTTTGTCTTGTTATTTACGTATAAAATGAAAAGTAAAACTTAAAAGTAATCCAATTATAACATTAACCGTTATGATATATGCATGGTAATAGTATTAGGTAATATTATTCTATTATTATACTAATTACTACTGGTTGTATTATTATTTATTTTAATACTAATCATACGTTTAAACAAATATAGATGATGGAATACAAATAGTAGTTGGTACAGACTGCAAATTTTTTAAATGTTAAATGGTTACTCAATTTAATAATATTTTTACATTCATCATACACTTATGAGTGTAATATTTCATCCACCAAATACATAATTTAAAACTATCAGTCATGCAATATAAATATAACACAAGGAATCATTTAGGCCCAAAAGACTGTTCCTGCATCCCTCCTCCTTCTGGTCAAAAGTTTAACTCAACCTTAGTAATAAGCATTCCTTTCAAATTTAAACTATTCTAAAGTGCCAACTTTCACTATTGCTAACAGCAACTCATTCTATAAGCCAATCACCCTGTTAAAAAACAGCTTTAGCTTCAGCTTACCATAGATCTGTGTTTCCTATTTTTGGACTTGCAACCGTTGGATTCTCTTCTGCCTCTGTGGGGTTCTAATCTCACTACTTTGATCATGTTTTCCCAACCTCATTTTTCCTGTGTCTGCCTCTGTGGGGTTCCGATCCCAATACTTCAATCGTTATCCCAACCTCAGTTTTTCTGTATCTGACTCATGTTATCCTTTCTACTTCCATCCCTTTCCTCAATTCACCTTTTATCTGATACTCTTTATTATTTCCCTGAGGGATTTTTGGTGGAGACTCGTGCCCCATTTTTTTACACTCTCCACAATTGTCCTCTGCTGCCCTTTTTCTCCAAACATGGTTAGTCTGTTGTTGGGATCTTTTGGGTCAAGATACCTTTTGTGTCCATTTACTCCTAGCCTCCTTACGGGACTTGCGTATGGCTCCCTTTTAAGGAAAAATATATTTTGTGACTCATTGGAGTCCAGGACTAAGTCTGCCCTTTTGCGCACCTCCCTTTCCTCATTGGCTACCCATCTGTCTCAATCTGCTTTCGTGTCTTGTCCTCCTCCTTTACTGGTTCCATTATAATAGGTGGGATCTGTGATTTCTAGAGTTTCCCAAACTTTTCTGAAACATCATCTTTATCACCAGAAATATGAATTAAGATATTGTTTACTAAGTAAGAAAATAGTCAGTTTCACAAGTTAAATTTAAGTCTGGCTTAGAAACACAATATAAAGGTCTAATTCAAGCTTAAAATATTCCAAAGAGTCCAGAACAGTTGTGAATATGAGAAAGAATAGCTACAATATACAACAAAAAATTAATAGACCTACTTATACATGTGTAACTGTAAATTATGATATAACTAACATAAACATGAGCAAACCTTTGCATTTAGCTAAAGTTTACACTTTGGTTAAAAAAAAAACTAACCCGTTTTTCAAATATATATATATATAAAAGTATAGGTATGCATTTTTCTTCTGAAACTAATTACTGGTATAAAGAAATAGTGCAAAAATTGATCAGGGAAGGGTGTGGATATTGATCAATAGAATGATACCTAGTGTAAGGGAAGAGTGTAGAGATAGGTCAGTAGAATTATATCTAGTGTAAGGAAAGTGTGTAGAGATTGGTCAGTAGAATGATATATAGTGTAAGGAAAGAGTGTAGAGATTGGTCAGTAGAATGATATGTAGTGTAAGGGAAGAGTGTAGAGATTGGTCAGTAGAATGATACCAAATGTAGGATATTAGAGGTACATGTACAGTTTTGAATTTCTCTTGAGCTTAAAAGAGCTAGAGGCGGCTTGAGTAGTGTGGTTAGTAAAAACAAAATATCTGGGGTTGTAGAATTTCATTTTGGACTAATGAACTCCTCATGCCTATTAGCCTAATCTAATACGTCTAAAAAAATGTCTAGATCCTTGAATAATTTTCTAAACGTTGTTTATCTTACACTTCACAAAAATTATTTTTTAATATGGTCATTAAGAAGAATTATCATTTATAATGTATCTATATAAATTTTCAAATGCACGTGTTGTTATTATTTAATAGGCTCAAGAAGATGCAGATTTGACAGCTGAGTGTCATCATGTAAGTTCGCTTTACTTTATTAAGGAAAATTGAGACTTGTAGATACGTTCTGTTACATGAAGGGATTTTCTCATCTCGTGTATAAGTATTTTCAGTATTGATTTTGGTTTTACAACTGTTACATATGTTATTGATTCATAAGAATGAATATGTGTTATGGAAGTTTGAAGTTAATACGTGATACGCCACTCTCGAGCTTTATTTTCTCATCCTGACTTGTAGTATAAATTAAAATTAGACAAATTTTATATTAAAGCATTTGCAATTTGTTTGTGTATTTGCAACTCACCAGTCACCATTAAAAATATGATAATCCTATATTAAATTACATTGTGTGTTTGTAAATTTGTTTGTCTTCACAGTTTTGGAGTTAATAGGGCCAAACTTGGCAAGCATACTTGGGGTGGCCCAAGATGTGTCCTTATCTATAAAGTATAGTCTACCTACCCTTATTTATTTGAGGTTCCAAATGTGACCAAAATGTCATCCAACTATGATTGGGATACAGGAGTAGGTTTGCAGGATTACTAAGCACAAATCTGGCATTGGATTTTGTGTTCCTGGCCCCCCTCAGGATCTAGGGGCCTCCATGTTTGAAAATGCTTTTACTCCCAGTCACAAAACTAGGAGGACAAAACTTAGCAAACATGCTCACGTACAACAGGTGCATGTCTTAACATTTTATATTGTAGAGGGGGGTATTGGTCCCCTCTAGGGGTAACTATAGAAGTAAAAATACTTGGAGACGGCTTGAATGGGTAATGAAGAAAAACATTAATATAAGTTTAACACAACAGCAAATGTACAACGTTTTCGCAAGGTGTTATCGTCGTCATCGAATTTGAACTATAGAAGTAAAAATACTTGGAGACGGCTTGAATGGGTAATGAAGAAAAACATTAATATAAGTTTAACACAACAGCAAATGTACAACGTTTTCGCAAGGTGTTATC